CCAACCATGTCCAGCATCTGCTGAGTCTGTTGGTGTTGCTGCAAAACTGTTGTGAAGGGGTTGATTTGTTTTGCTGTACACGTAAAGGCCAAATATCTTGCAAGAGCTAATAATTAATTATTTCAATAATGTGTGCCTCTTACAGAGTTTATAACGTGTATACACTCAAAAGTGGCAAGTGCTTGTTAAAATAGCAAGCTCCAATCAGATTTACTATCTGATTCGCAACTTTTGGGAGGCACTGGTTTTTATCAATCTCCAAGCAAACAAAGTCCATTACATTGGTCTGGTCTGCTGCTGTGAGCATTTTTGAAGAAGGACAGTCAAGGACAGGTTTAGTCCATAAAGTCAAAGGTCAAAGTTAGGTTAGTGACTTTAAATGTTTTGAGGCACTAATAGCCAACATAAACATGAGCAGATCTGTTTATTTTGCTTTGTTTACGGAGTTATGTCTGTGAAATAATTGGTGCGTATTACTGTTGGCCGGACAGGATGTTTTGATCACAAAATCTCCACACATTTCATCTTGTCTGTACAATTATGGACCGACCTGCTGTGCAGTTATTTGAATGAACCAAACTGTTATTGTGGTAGCATCTATTTCAGATAAATCGGACTACTGACAGTGTGGCTAGTCAAAACCTGCAACACTCTTATAAAGGTTCTGTATTGGCATCTATGGTTTTATGAAGGACCTTTAACATACTGTACATGGATCCTTTCCATTGGATAAAAGGTTAATTATACTGGAAAAGGGTTCTTTGGATTATTAAAATGTTTGTCAAACCTAGAAAAAGGCTGCTTCTGAAAGGTTATTTGGGGGACCCAAAAATGGTTCTTCTACCTTTTTCACCTTTTTGGAAGTGTTTTTTTTTTTTTTTAAGAGTGCATGTGAAGTGTATAGAAATGCTAACTAGAAAGATAGATAGTTTGATGACAAAGTTGTTAGTTTGAGAAAACCTTGAAGTTTGAAGGTGTCACTCAGTCAGCCAAAATCAGAAAATGTAGACATAGACTACCTCTTAGCATGTTTTTGTATGCTCCTTGCATGTTTTACCATGTTGACAGGCATTGCTAGAATATTTGATCATGCTGCTAGCATGTTTTAGCAGCTTGCTACGTGTTGCCAGTCTGTTCCTAACATGTTTTGGCATTGTAGCTTGATAAGTCAGAACAGGGTGAATATCTGATGTTGCTTAAGGAGTTATTCAATGAAAAGGTTTTCACCCATGAATGGAAGTCTATGGGAGTTTGGGCCTGTTTACAGTAAGTACACTGTAAGTACATGTAAGTGCATGTACTGTAAAATAAAGTGCAACTGAAATACTATATAGGTCTAGGGGCTCAGAAAAAAAAACAGAAGAGTAATGATACTCTTAATAATTAGATCACTATTTTGCCTTTGTCAAGCAAACATTATGATTAATTTACAATTTACGGTCAGAATTGGTCAGTAGGAGGTCCTCACAAGTAAAAGTATACTAATTTCTGCTCAGGATATGGGGAGTTTCTGTATATCATTAATTTATAGTGTTGTAAACTCTGGCAGGAACTGGCGAATCAGAATCATGACGCAAAGAAGCTCTATTTTTAACTGGTTGTGTCACTAAATCTGTTTCACATTCAGAGAAGCAGAACTTGGTATGTGCTATTCACAGCTCCGTTATGCTTTGTTCTTTTGCATGTTACTCATACTTATTCTGGGTGCAATCCAGACTTCAACAGGCTGGATCAGAGCCATTTGCAGGGGAAATTTCAGGGTGAATGCATAAGGTGAGAAACGTTTGTTTCTCAATGGTCCTTCACCTGAGACTGCAGACCCTGGCATCACGCCTCTCTCTCTCTCTCTCTCTCTCTCTCTGGAGAGAAAGTCCGTCCCATGCCGCTTAGCTGACACAGATGGCAGAAATCCAACCTAGACAATGATAAAATCCACTAACTTAGTCATCAGACATTTCAGAGCTTTTCACTCCATTTTCTTAATTCCATTTTTTGCAATTTGGCTGCTGCCAAAATTGGAGCTGCCAGTTTTGGACACATTATGAACAAACAAAATCTTTAATCTAATCTTTTCATTTATACAGATCAAATAGTTTCCGATTTTACAGTAGATGGGCTTCATAAGCTGTTACTTTAGTTGACGACACAAGACTAGACGAGTGGTCGTAGTTGGTTGTGTTAGTATATCGCTGAGCAGCAAAAAAAAGAGGCACACACAAAACTGGGAAAAATCATACATAGAGATATATGCATAATTTAATAGCAGTATACTTTACATATTTATTATTGATTTGGCTCTCCCCTCTTTCTGGATGGAAAAAAGTTGCCAAGCTCATCTTATAAGACTATGGGTTTGCCCTGTACATTGAGGATTCATGCAAATGACAAAATGATGCATTTCAGTAGTATAATTTCACCTCCCACAGTTTGAGCACCAGGAGCCTACTATTCCCAAGATGCACTCTTTATGCAGACACGAAATGTGTACACACCACTAGGATTAAGAGATTGTTTTCAGTATTTGACTCTATACTTAGGAGCTTTGAAAAGAACAACCGAATTTTAGTTGACCTTCATCTGCTACACTCTCATTCGTTTGTGTAGAGGTTGCCTGGTGACGTTAATTGAATGAAAAGCTAGGATATCTCGGCACTCAATGTTGAAAGGTTCACCATCCCTTGTTTTTTAACCACACATTCATCCTTTTTGTCTATCCAGTAGCAGTGAGATGCATTTGGAAAAATATTTTTTCGTTTTGGAGCAGAACAGCTTGATAATGCTTTTGGAGTATTTATTTATGGTTAACTCCTCTTGTGCACACACCAATGAGAAATTTGTCACTTCCTCTTGGCATTCCCTTCCACTGCCCCTGTTGTGTCTGTGTTGAATATTCATTGCAGTTGGCATCGTAGGAAAAAAGTGGCATACTGATCAGTCATGCTATTTTTCACCAACCACATTTACAAGATGCCCTGCTTACACCCTGCTCAACATAATTTCCCCCGCTGTTATAACTGAACTGACAATTAAATGATTTGTTCCTTGTTGAATATCATATTTCTTTGTAGACAGTATTTACATTTTGCGACAAATGTTGCAAAGAGAACTAATACAATTGATTTGTTCAAGTGTAGAGGCTGAGCATGTTATTAAAATCTTCTCTCTTTTTTTTAAGTAAAGTAAATCAGCTTGGTTTTATTGATTTGGGTGGTGAAGGATTTTGACTGGTAACCAAAAAGTTGTTCTGGATACAGGCTTCCCTTGGTTACTATTATATTATATTAAATATTACATAAGATTCTGCATTCAATTATCTTATATAATTTTATATATATATATATACACTCACCGGCCACTTTATTAGGTACACCTGTCCAACTGCTCGTTAACACTTAATTTCTAAGCAGCCAATCACATGGCGGCAACTACGTGCATTTAGGCATGTAGACATGGTCAAGACAATCTCCTGCAGTTCAAACCGAGCATCAGTATGGGGAAGAAAGGTGATTTGAGTGACTTTGAACGTGGCATGATTGTTGGTGCCAGAAGGGCTGGTCTGAGTATTTCAGAAACTGCTAATCTACTGGGATTTTCACGCACAACCATCTCTAGGGTTTACAGAGAATGGTCCGAAAAAGAAAAAACATCCAGTGAGCGGCAGTTCTGTGGGCGGAAATGCCTTGTTGATGCCAGAGGTCAGAGGAGAATGGCCAGACTGGTTCGAGCTGATAGAAGGGCAACAGTGACTGAAATAACCACTCGTTACAACCGAGGTATGCAGCAAAGCATTTGTGAAGCCACAACACGCACAACCTTGAGGCGGATGGGCTACAACAGCAGAAGACTCCACCGGGTACCACTCATCTCCACTACAAATAGGAAAAAGAGGCTACAATTTGCAAGAGCTCACCAAAATTGAACAGTTGAAGACTGGAAAAATGTTGCCCGGTCTGATGAGTCTTGATTTCTGTTGAGACATTCAGATGTTAGAGTCAGAATTTGGCGTAAACAGAATGAGAACATGGAACCATCATGCCTTGTTACCACTGTGCAGGCTGGTGGTGGTGGTGTAATGGTGTGGGGGATGTTTTCCTGGCACACTTTAGGCCCCTTAGTGCCAATTGGGCATCGTTTAAATGCCACGGCCTACCTGAGCATTGTTTCTGACCATGTCCATCCCTTTATGGCCACCATGTACCCATCCTCTGATGGCTACTTCCACCATGTCACAAAGCTCTAATCATTTCAAATTGGTTTCTTGAACATGACAATGAGTTCACTGTACTAAAATGGCCTCCACAGTCACCAGATCTCAACCCAATAGAGCATCTTTGGGATGTGGTGGAACGGGAGATTCGCATCATGGATGTGCAGCCGACAAATCTGCGGCAACTGTGTGATGCCATCATGTCAATATGGACCAAACTCCCTGAGGAATGCTTCCAGCACCTTGTTGAATCTATGCCACGAAGAATTGAGGCAGTTCTGAAGGCAAAAGGGGGTCCAACCCGTTACTAGCATGGGGTACCTAATAAAGTGGCCGGTGAGTATATATATATATATATATATATATCTTATATATTATATAAATATTATATATAATATATCTTATATATATATATATATATATATATATATATATATAGTGCTATATATTATTTATAAGAATAGGATATTTTTGTTTTAATACAAATAATTTATAGTTTATTATGTATTTATATATATATATATATATATATATATATATATATATATGTATGTTTATTTTATGTATACTGTAGTTTTTATTTTATTTTTTATATTCTAAAATAAAAATGCTAAACGTACAGTACATAGTGAAATTTAAGTTCACCCCCGAGTTTACTTTAAGTTTGGATTAAAGTACCATTTAAATGACTAGCTGCTTGATTTTCAGTGTCACAACACCTGCAGCATTCCGGTATGATACTCTTCCTGCCTCTTTCTAGTTTTCTAATCTTTAAACAAAATCTCCTCCTCAGCTCAGCGATCTTTTCATCCAGTTTGACGAGAAACCTCACGGGGCCGCCTCCCTCGCTCAGGTCCACAAAGCAGTACTTCCAGATGGGAGGACGGTGGCAGTGAAAGTACAGCATCCCAAGGTCCAGCAGCAAAGCTCCAAGGACATTGTTGTGATGGAGGTAATTACAGAGGGAGCACGGCTACCGATGCCTGGCTTCTGATGCCTAATTCACACGCTCTGTCATTGTCACACACCCATGTATAGCTCGATTCTTCTAGGGGCCTATTCACCTCCCATTAGTGCTTAAAAAATAGATTCCATCATTCAACCTACAGTTTTATTCATTTATTGTATTGCAAATAGCCATTTGTCCATGCACCTACAATTTCATTTGTATCACATATAATTACTCTATTATGGCCAATTCTTACTCAGAGTCTTGGTTTGGAGCTCTGAGCTTTCATTAGTGATGAGTTTTCATATCCCTTCTTGAGATGTTTAGCACTTTTTTTTTTTGCTTAACATGATGCTTCTTGTCAGGGCCTATAAAACTATACACTTAATATATATATATATATATATATATATATATATATATATATATATATCAATCATCTTGATCAGACAATGTAACTTTGTGTAACTATATGTTTCCCTGTGTCTTTCTTCAGTTTCTCCTTCAGGTTGTCCACTGGTTGTTTCCGGACTTTGCTTTTATGTGGCTGGTGGAAGAGGCCAAGAAGAACCTGCCTCTGGAGCTGGACTTTCTCAATGAGGGCCGAAACGCTGAGAAAATAGCAGACATGCTCAGGAAGTTCAACTTTTTGAAGGTTTGTGAAACTGTCTCTTTATGTGGCATTGGGGAAAAACTGTTGATAGTCTTTGGGTGTACGGCAGCGTACTTAAATGTCCTAATTGAACTAAGGTCTAATCCTGGCTTAATTGAAGCCATGTTTATGAAACCCGGGCCTTAATGTCTTATATGACCTCAAGTTTTAAAAGAAATCACGATGACTCTGCAGTCAGGTTCACTTGTTCATAAATAGTAAGGTTACTTCCTTGAAATGATCAATGATATTTTTTTAAAATTATACATTGCCAATGGCCTTCATGAAAGAATTAATTTGCTCACTTTCGTTTGGAACGACTCTTAAAGGGAGCAAGTGTCGAAGTGCTCCCAAGCACTTGCTGTGGTATTCCGCCATACATTATAGTTATCCACTTTACACCCTTAAAAAAGCGCAACGTTTTATTTTGTGTCACCATTCTTGGTCGAGTTACACTACTCGTGTAACTGTATTTAAATAGGGACAACGTGGAGGTGTTTACTCGCTTCTCTGCTTGGCCCGTATTGAATGAACTGTGCTATCAAAGTGTCACCGCGCGTCAGAGCGATTGAGTGCACGCACTGAGACGAGAGAGGTATGTATCAACTCGTCTTAGTTAAGGGAATAACATAGTTTAATATGAAAAAACGGTGGAGTATCCCTTTAAGAGTAGTGTGCCCTTCGAGGCTGCACGAATGCCATGAAAAATCGCTTTTCAACAGACTTCAGCACTACAAAACAAAAAGCTCAGACTTATTCTGAGAATTTTGTCAACTTTCAAGTGAAGCAAGTCACATTACAAGTCCTACTTAAACACCTTACTAGCTGTAACTTGCACTTTTTTAACACTGTCTCGGCTAGATGCTACATATCAGAGTGCCCTCATATTTCTCCCCTGCAAAAAAAAAAACTTTGCAAGGTAAATAATCTGTCATAACAACTGCCAAATGCTTCCAGGCAAGTCCCCTTTTCATTTTTAATGAATAACAAAGAGACCTGGCTGGCCCTGCAGGGTAATAAGAATTGCCTGGGTTTACACCCGCAGATTTGTGCCTCTAATGCACACTATTAGCTCTGTCAAAACGTTTGACAGCGGAGCACAAGCCGCCATGTCAGGAATAAATCCCCAGCTCTCCGCATCAGCCTCTCGCCCTGTAAAACAAGCATGATTATACAGCAGCGGCGGTGTGGCAGAGTCGCAGGCAGTTCAGAGCGTGTGGCTGTTCCACAAGGCAGACACTGAGCTGAAAAATGGCTCTGTTTATATGGTGGTAACGGAGGGATTTTTTATCGTTGACGTTTGTTTGATAAAGAGAGCGTAGAGGAACTAGGCTGAAAGAGTGTCGCCGGAGGTGGTGGCAAAAGCCAGGCCTTGGTATCAGGTGCAGGGAAATTATCAAAGAAAAAAAGTCTGTAAATCTTCCTCATTATAAGCAGAAAGTTTTTTAATTAGTGAGACAAGTTGTTAGAGCGATAGAGCACCAGATAAGCAGCGATGTTCAGGAACAGGAAGCTGTCGTATGGAAGAGGAAGGTCATCTGAAGCATCGAGAAAGCCTGCTGCTTTGAGCTTTATGTGCAGATTATAGCTAATTTTGAGCATCTGGTATTATCCGTCACAAAGAATCTTATTGCCGGAACCCATTTTCTCTATGTCACTGTCAGGAAGTACAGATAGCGACTCTCAGCAGTGTGCAAATTGGCGATTTCGGTGTGGCTAGTTATGCTACATGCTCATAGTGCACAGCCTATAACTGTTTTCCACGGTTTAGTTCTTTACTGGTGCTTGTTAAGTATCACTACTACTCTCGCTCGTCGACCAACGCCAACAGACGCCCACAGAGGTAACGCACTGATCCAACAGAACCCAATGAAGTGTCTGCACCGACAGACGCCGGCAACAGTGTGAATTGGCCTTAATACCAATCAAAACACCCTTGTAAAAATGTTCCATATAGTATGAATATGGGTAGTATGAATGTAATCCGGACATACTACATCCATCATGTTGTTACTGTCACGTGACCTAACAGCGTCAGTTGCGTCGCTTCACTGCCATTCATAAATCCCCTCCTGTGGCCTAAATGGATTGTAAAGTGTCCATCGAATGCGCACTTCAGAATCTTGCTGGAAGTAGTTGTTTGTTTATCCGGGGACTTTTTTCAAATACTATGTATTCGGACATACTACTCTTTTGGCATACTGTTTTTCGCATACTATATAGTAGGGAAGTATTCGATTTTGGATACAGCGTTAGAACACCTCAGGAACCACATAGCAAAGCTTAAAAAAAGCACTAAAAATTTTTTTGCTACTTTGAATATTCAACTTTATCCCAGCTAGTTCAAGGAATTTCCCCCAAAAAGTTTTCCAAGTTCCAAAATAAGACTTGTTGAATAGGATGTTTTTCATTATTTATTCAAAATGCAAATAATAATAAACGGAGGAAATCCAATAGGGTCCTTGCACCGATGGTGCTCGGGCCCTAAATAGAACAAATTAAGTAAAACATGGCACAGCTTCCTGCAAAAAAAAAACTGCTGAGAATCTGTTTCTTGTTTTGTTTTCTTCCAGATCCCAAAGATTCACTGGGATCTTTCTACCAAGCGCATTCTAACCATGGACTTTGCAGAGGGTGGTCAGGTCAATGACCGGGAGTACATGAGGAAACACGGCATCAATGTCAATGAGGTAAGAGAGATGCCCTTATCTCTGCGTTACTCTAAAACAGAACATCGGTTCTTCAGAAACACTCAGAACTGCAGCCCAACAAACGGCACTTGTCACAACTCAAGATCGCTTAATCAGTAATTTCACTCTGCTGATGTTAATTTGAGCATGGAAAAGTGCTCTGGCATGTTAATGAAGCAGTCACGTTTCCTGCTGTGGGTTCTGGAAGCTTTGAAGACGTTTCTCTTTGCCCTGTTCCGAGAGGCTCTGACAACGCTGAAATGGAGGCTGCTTGGTTTGATGAATTATGCCTCTCACATTTCATTTCATTTTTCTAGCCCTTAGCAGATGAGCACTAAATTAAATCAGGCTCTTTTTCATATTTATATCACAGACTGTTTTTCCGTTGCGGCTGCAATTTATTCTACTCCGCCGCTTTTGTCAGCACAAGGACTCGCCACGAGATCGAGCACCTTTTTAATTTTGCTCTTTCGTTAAGGTGACTCGTATCTCAGGGTGAATGCGGTTACACACAATGGCTTTGGTTAGAATGGAGGCCCTACAGAGTGAGCTAATCTGTAGTTATGCGGGGCCAGGGGATGACAGAGAGACGAATAAACTTAGGGGGCGACTCTTGTGAGGCCCCGAGGATAACGGATGCTAATGGACTATTGATCGATGGACCAGCGCCTGTTCACACAGAGATGTTTTACGTCACCATTGCCACTGCATTATCATTGTCTTGTTATTTGATGATGGTTATCACTTTGTCCGCTTGCTGTAGTAAAAAAAAAGATGGTAAGACAAAAAAACTTGTAAGTTTATGTTACAATATCTCTACAAATCACAAATTAGTGCTGAAAATTCACCCGGAAAAATGTTTATATATATTAAATTACGTGTGATAATGCCTGTTTTTTGGATCATCTAGAGCATATTAACTATACTTCATCTCATTTCATTGTCTTTTTTTATTAGGGCTGTAAAAAGTATTAAATAGCATAGAAAAAAACATTGTGGTATTTGCATTTGGTCTTTGTTGATGTTTGTTTATAGAAAGATGAGAGACTCTTCTATTTAGGCGTTGTCACACTGAAGAATCATTGTCAGAGTCCTCTTAAACTTTGTCTTCACTCATTATCACTCATGTAAATGTTTTTTTATTGACTTGCATTTCAACAGCTTGCAATTCAGCCTTTTTTGCCGATATGATGAAAGTCAGAAAATATTCAATATTCTTCAAAACATCTTAGAAGAAAGAGAGTAATACAGGTTTGGAACGATGTTAGTGAATGATGACAATTAACTAACTAAACTCCCTTTAATAACCATTCTTGACTTGTTTGGGACACGTCTTCTTCACTGTCATGTACGAATAACATAAGCAGTCCTAGTAGTAGTCGCACTTACACTACAGTATACCATCTCGCCACCCAACTCCAGTCGTCTCAAAACGTTTTCTATAAACATTGATTCTCCCTCCTGTTCACCCAAATATTACATCTTGTTCTGTTCAATATTTTAGTTATTTCACAAGCAGCTTCAGTCATCATATTACCAGATTTCATGTGTCGCTCTTCCATGGAAGAGAGGGAAATATGGAATGCCCCAGTGAGATAGATGAAGAGATTTTTAGAAACGCAGAGTGAGGAAAAAGACTGCAGCCGCTGAGAGCCGTGCGAACGCGCCGGCTTTTGTTAAAAGACTAAATGGGATCATTTTAGCACCTGCTTTGTTTGTGTCACTCTGTCATTATATTTCCTCCGACCTGTTTTGTCTGTCTGAATTAATATGCACATTTGCTGCCAGTTTGTTTTGCAAAGCTCGCTGAGGCTTTAAACGGCAACCTTTCCTTATCGTTGTACACCCAGGCGTCAGTGAGCCTGACAGACGGGTAAACACAGCCTGAAACCGGTCTCATAAGCCACCGAGCCATGCTTAAAGGGCACCGCACACCTTTGAAAGACGGAGGACGGAACGGTCGGCGGGTGGATGGCACATCAAGCATTTATCACACCCCCCTCTCACTCGCACGTACACACACGAGTGCACATAACATTTATTTTCCTTTACGCGGTGTCACACACAACCACTGCTTGGATTTCTTCTGCCGAGCCATTTTTCTTTTTCTTTTTCTTTGCAGATAGAGGACTGGGTTATGGGCGGCACTGATTAACTGATGCTCCCTGGTACAGTGTGGGAAATGAGGACGCATTTTAAAAGAAAACGGTGTACAAATTTTATGCAGAGCTTGAAAATGCAATCAAAGGGCTCGGTTCATCAGACTCATTTGGAGTGGTGCAATTTAGCGAACGCTTCCGCTTATATTTTCCCTCTCTCGTTCTAATGTGTCGCCGTGCGTGCGTGTGCGCGTCTGCTTTGCGAGTGCGTCTGAACGCTTTTAAGAGGGTTTTAGAGGTTCGGGGGAATGAAAGCGATCGTGGTATTAGCAAGTGTGCCACGTGGCCGCTCAATGGGGCTTTGCTAAAGAGACGCTCTCCATTGGAACAGGTTGAAAAGGCAGTACAGCCTGCTTGCTTAAAAAGACACTTTATTTTGAAATTGCAGAGCTGTGGGGGGTTAGCAGAGCCGGTGGGAAACAGAGCTGGAGGCTGCGAGAGGAAATGAGTCTGCTCTCTGGAAGGGCATCTGAGCAGCGGGACCTGAAGACTATGGAGAGCATATTTTTGGTGCCTTAAACTGCACCCACAGTCACGGTTTTGCATGAAAAGCAAACCGAGTGCTTTAAATTCAAGGAAACAGAGCAGAAATGAATTTGAAATTGAAAATATCTGTGTATATAGAGTAGACCCCAAAAAGACACTTAAGCCACTCAAATATACGAATGTCTTCATTGTACAACAAAAAATTGAACCAAGTGTTATTTATTTTAGTGGGAGAAAAATAGATACAGCGTAATTTTGTGGGGAAAACGTGGAAATAGTGTTTCATTTTTATCATTTTGTTTGTTTATATTTATTTGCTTGCTTTGTGCCTTTATGGATTTCAGTTCTTGTGGTTTTATTGGCGTTAAGGACCTTTAAAATGAATGAAATAATTTGGCGAAGTGTAATGCGGTCAAGACCTGCCTGGAAATACTTTAGCTGTGTGCTTATCTTAGAATGTTTGTCAACCAATCAGAATTGAGCATTCAACTGCCCTGTATGGTATTCTTATTTTATATGGATGCTATACTTTCATTATTCTGTCAGTTTGCACTTGTTTAGCATTAAATCCATTCGAATAATAAACTGGACACATGCTAATTTTATAAGCACTATTAAATTTCAGGTTTTTTTTTCGTTGGAAATCCTGGCAAATAGGGGAAGAACCTTTGGGAAATTAGCTGTGTGAAATTCCAATCACTGTTAGATTTCATGCTGTCATTGGATTTTGTGGCTCCCAAAGCATATGCTGACAAATGTTAGAATGAAAAATTGAGGTGCTGTGCATATAGAGGACAACAAATGTACGTTTTGTGTTGGTGGTAAACTGAATGTAAATGGCTGATTGGAGGGGTTGGAAAGAGGGAAAAATCAGTATTAGTTTTTTGTCTAGTAAAGATTTACCAGTTATATTTGAAATATAATAACATCATAGTGTGGTGGTCATTTATTTAAAGCCATCATGAAATCAAAATTGACAATTATGATTTTTTTTATGGAATATTGCAGTATTTATTATAAATGATTTATCTTACCATTCTTGTCCCCAGAGTGTGTATGTGAAGTTTTAGTTCAAAATACCCCGCAGATATCTTTATATAGCATGTTAAAATTTTCACTTTTTGGGGGTGAGCAAAAACGCACCGTTTTTGTGTCTGTCCCTTTAAATGCAAATGAGCTGCTATGAGTGGTGATGTCACTAACCCGGGAGGAATGCCGTGTAGTCCCTACCAGCCGTTTGTTGTAGTCCTTAAAAAACTATTTCTTTAAAAGCAAATATCTTCCTTTGCTTTGAACTTTAAGCATTGTAACTTTGCAGATGTTGTTGATGCTCAAACAGCAACATTACACACTAACTAAAGTTAGAAAAGTGAAATAATAATCAACCACCACTTTAAAATTCAGGTATTTTAATCTCTTCTCTGCTCTGATGGCGTGTTCACTGGCGTGAGGGTGGGAAAACCTGTCACTCACATGAGATAAACAGCAATAGCAAACCACAAGGATCCAACAATCCAATTAATACCCAATGGATCAAAATCTTTTCGTGTCTAAACGGTTTCAATTGGATATATGTCACTATAGGGAAGAAAAGACTATCGATACTTCCGTTTCATGCTGACTTTAATGTAAAGATATCAGTGTGTAGTGGTGTGTTTTTTTCTTCCTATGATGTAATTCCCACACTTAAAAAAACACTCTTAAGCCAACCTAGTTTTGCTGGCTTCCCAATCTGGCCACGCTTTTCTGGTTTAGCTGGCTGGTCTCCAAGGCTTATTGTTATGTCAATATGGAACACTGTCTGAAATTGATAGAAAATGGCTTCAAGTAATTGCGTCCACCATGGAAACTTAGTGCTGTAGCCTCTTTAACTTAGCGTAAAGAGGTCAAGATCAGTCATCTCTTCTCCCTGGATACCCTCACTTCCCCTCAATCTTTCAGTCATGCCCTATTGCCCTGTGCCTTCCTCTTTCGCTCTTTTTCTCTTTCGCATATAGAGGTCAGAGTTTCATAATATCGGACTGAGGCTACAGTTTTACACTTTTTTATTTGACAGACTTTGAGTACCTGACAGTTGAGACACATAATATACAATACACTGAGACTAATCTGTGAATGTGTACATTCTGTTTTTTCTTAATCTTTTTTTTGAGAGTACTTTTAATCAACCGCATCCAAAATGTTCCTCCCAGATGCGACCAGAATAAGCGGTAATGGTTAAAGTCAATGCTATATTAGCCAGCATCATGGATGATCCTGCCCTCCGTAACCTCGACCGTTTCCCCTTGCAATACTCATTAGCTGCCGGACAGCCTTTACAATGCTCACAAAAGTAAATAAAACAAACAGTGTAGC